TTATGTATCAATCGATCGAATTGAATCAATCAATCAATCAGAAAGGGAAAGTCTGGTACGAACCCATGAGCATAACTCAGTGGGTACACCAATGAGCTGTTGGGATACAGTCTCATACGGACCTGAGTTCGAATCCAGATGATGGAATTTTTTTTATTTTTATTTTTTTTTAACAAAGCGAGTTGCTCAGCTAGGAGACGTGATGGAACTTGACGAGTAAAACAAATTTTATTTATTTATTTTATTTATTTTATTTTCTTTAACCAAATATTTCTGAGTGGCCTGCGGCCGGTCAGCTTAGTGACGATATCTCAAGGCCTTCACCCGTACAATGAATGTCTTATACAGGTGCATGAATCGGGACAGAAACTTAGGACAAGTTCGTGATCTCATAATAATTAGAGGGAGGAATGCCGGGCTCTTTTTCTTCCTTGGTGTTGGCCCTTGGAATGCTCCCCCGTCTGATTCAGTGGAACTACCGGTACTAGTTTCTTCTTTTTTTCTTTGCTGTTGTTATTGTTTTTTGTTTTCTGTTCTTTTTTTTCTTTTTTCTTTTTTTTCTTTTTTTTTGGTGAGGCTTTTGAAGAAGATAGCTTTTTTTTTTTCTTTTTTTCTTTTTTTCCAAAGGGCAGCCAGATGTCGTACGACGGCTGCTTTTGAATTATACAAGCCGGAAAACGGGTCCGGCATCCCTTACATCATAGAGAAAGCCACGGGGTAAACAGTCTCCTCTGACCTATGAAACCGTATGAGCGCGCTTAAAGACCCTCGCGCCGCGCTCAAACACGCTTAAAGCGTTTTAAGGCACACGCGCGCGTCAAAACATCAGCACACGCGGGCCATGGGGTTGCACATAGGCAGGGGATGTGGTGGGGGGTGTTGCGCATAAAAAAAATGTTGGGTGGTTGGGGGTGATTTTGGGGGGGGTGGGGGGGGGGGGGGATGTGGTGACTCTCTCTCTGTGTGTGTGTGTGTGTGTGTGTGTGTGTGTATGTGTGTGTGTATGTGGGTGTGTGTGGGTGTGTTCATGTGTGTGTGTGTGGGTGTGTTCATGTGTGTGTGTGTGGGTGTCATGTGTGTGCTGGGCGGGGTCTGTGAGTGTCCTTTTTTCTCGTTTTTATGTTTTTTGTTTTTTTTAATATATACAAACTCTGAAAAAATGCAAACAAAAATATGGGGTCGTAGATCTGCAAAATATCTAAAAGACCAGGGTTGCTGGCGTTCGGGTACAGGACCCCTTCGGAAGGCGCTCGGCTGTTCAGGCCGAACGCGGACCAAAAAAAAAAAAAAAAAAGTTTTCAAACAATTCCGAAAAAAAAAAAAGTGATGTAAATAAACTAAACAACAGTTGCCTGGGAACTACTTCCAAATTCTTTACCAAATTTGAATTAAACATCAGATACAGAAAAAAAACACTATGATAAAAATAAGAAAAAATAAAACGAGAATTAAATGAGTAAGTGTGCCAGCACGTTTTCGACACCGCCATCTCTGCCGATTTTTAATTATTTTTTGGCATTGACAAATGCCCTGAAAATTTACAGATATGTAGTTTACATAATCAATAACTCGTTAAAAGTTTTTCAAAACATAATAAAACTTTTTAGGCCCCTAAATAAAGTGAAAAAAAAAAGTTAAAAGTGAAAAAAAAACAAAATAGTGAGTGGGCGAGCACGTTTTGACAGCCCCATCTTTGACGATTTTTTAGGTTTTTCTGGCTTAGCAGAATGGCTTGAAAATTTATAGGCGTGTAGGGTACATCATAGAGAACTCACAAAACATTCAGAAAAAAAAACTTATTTGTAGGCCCCGAAATGTTTTTTGGCGGGGGCCGAACCTGGAGGTGTTCGGCCCCCGAATGGGACCCCGAACGCCCGAACATTCGGGGGCAGCCCGGGGGCCCCCGAACGTTCAGTCAGGTAACCCTGTACAAGACTGTATTTTTTATTATTTTTTTTGTTAACTTTTTGCCTGCAAAAAAAATCTCTGTGAAAAAAAAGAAAAAACCACCCATTTCATGTTTTTTTTTTTTTTTCGTTTTTGTTTCTGATTTTTTTTAAATACAGGACTTCAAAAAATAAAATAAAAAATGCAAGGTTGTAGATCTCAAAAAGATCTACAACCCTGTAGTTTTTGTTTTTTTTTTTGCTTATTTTTTTCCGGGGAAAAAAATACTCCCGCGCCCGCTCAAACCCTGCTCAAGCGCTTTTGAGCGCGGTATTGAGCGGAGCGCAAAAAATTGAGCTCCGACCCCGTGCTCAATCAGTGCGCGGTGTCACAGCCTCTGACCATACGAAAATGACGAAATCCTAAATATGCACTATGCAATCCTAATTGTGCACTATGCAAATTACCCTAAAAAAAGAAGAACAAAACAGAACCTGCAAAAACAAAGCCTATCACCCTTGAAAATAGTCCAACCCTGCAGATCCACTCTGCCACCCGCGCGGCAGGGATCTGTAAGCACAGACCCCGCAAACCCACCCACCTCCTCGCGATTCAAAGCAGATCACTTCACCCCCTACGTTACCTACCCTAAAACACCAACTCCCTCCATGATGGTGTTTCAGCAAACCCTGCGAAAAGCCCTACCTCCCGCGTGGCAGGGGCCAAAGGCCCCGCAAAGCCCACCCACCTCCTCGCGATTTAGGGTAATCCGCACCCCCGTCCGCATGCACTCCCCAATGAGACCTTCACCTCCCTCCATGATGAAAATCGTACCGAGCAACGCTCCCCAATCCCTCAAGAAAAGGATGATAGAAGAAAACTCCAAGCACACAAGGAAATGAACGTAACCCCGAACATTAACGAACCTGCAGAAGTGCCCTACCACCCGCCCACCTCCTCGCGATTCAGGGCAAACTGCTCCCCCAGTCAGCATCAACCCCCTGAAAACCCTGCCGCCCACCATGATAGGGTCTTCACAAAGCGACACTCCCACGTTCATCTCACCACGGTACAACGGAATCAACCAAAACACAAACCCAGCAATAGCTATCAAGTAGAACATCAAGCAATACGGTG